AAAATATGCTAAATATCTAATAATAATTCCTCCTCCTTATTAGGTTTTCCCCTTACTTTTATTTGGCACTTGAAAAGGTATAGTTTTAAATGCCATGGGCACCTTTGAGAAGAGGAAAATAAAACAGTGGCATTTATAGGTCTTCAATAAGAGTAATTACTGCACCATCTTTTTGTGAAACAAAGGAAATTAGGGTCTTAGAAAAAATGTGGAACAATATAGAATAAGATCATAAGCAGGTGGAGTAATTTTACTTGCAGCATACTCTGGATGAAGTACCTAAAGCACTATGACAGTTACAATACATTGCCACAAGTACTGAGCAGGCACATTGTGATTTTATGGGTGACTTCTAAAGAAAATGCCACAGTCAGGTAGAAGTGTCAATTAGTACAACACTTCCTAACATCCCACTGATTCATTTCTTTATCTTTGAGTGTTAGAGGAATTGAAAATGTTGCACATTACTCTCCACTAATTTGATGCTTTTGGGCTCCTCATGGTACATTTTATTCCACTTTGGTCATTTAGAAACAATGTTCTACCTGAACACAAAGGAAAATGGATTCACAGACGAGCTGTTATTTCAGTATGACAGCATGTGGGAGGAAAAGTGCATTCAGGTTTCAAATCAAATATAAGGTATGTAAGGTTACATCTCCTGCTTTGTTCAGGTTTTTCTTAGGAAAGGAGTGCGGAGAACAGCTGCCGCTGTTGCTGCTGAAGGCACCAGGGAAGTGCGCCCCTGAGATCTCTAGCCAATATCAGGCATTTCAAATGATCTGGCCACTACCCTTTTTTACCCCCTGTCATCTCTCTTTCATTAAAGGAATCTGGGGCACTTATAAAGTCCTTTCCTGACTGCCCACTAGAGGTACACTGGGTTGGTTTAGCCATGATCTTGGGATCACAAATCCTATGAGAGATTTGGGGATTGCTCTCGGTAGCCTATAACAGCAGTGGGCTTGTCTATACAGGAATAGCTATTGAGGTAGTGCAAATTCACAATCTGCATTAATCTGCTTTAACTTGCAAGTCTGCACAAGCCTTCATGCTTTGTTAACTAAGTAAAAGTGATAATTTGTGTGAAATCAGGAAAGTGAAAACTCCCCAACCAACAAGACAAAAAGGAAACTAGGCTTTGAACAGGAGATACATTTAAATAAACTTTTTTTTTCCCCTGTGGGAGATCTGAGCTGCTAGTTCACACTTAAGGTGTGAGGATGAGCATGATACCGTGTCTGCACAGGTAAGTGTTACCGGAGACAGTACTAATGTCCTACTGCAGCACTGGCCTCCTCCTGATGACTTAACACAACAAAACATTGTTGTCAGGCAGCTAGACTGCTTCCGGGGTGAGGAACCTTTGCTTGACATGTTGTGCTGTACATATGTACTGTCTGCTGCCACCTGCAGCTTGCTGGAATCGAGCATCCTCTTTACAACATTGCCAAGTCGTGAAATCAGGCTTCCATGAGAGAGGCACCAACTTTGAGTAGGGTCACATCTGCCAAATCTTGTGTCTCAAGTCTATAATGATTACTGACAGTCATAGCACTGGTCAGCTGAAGAGATTTAGTTCATAATTAACCCTCTCCCTCTGCACTGACCACAATAGGGGGGGGACTTTTGGGGACTTCTATCACAGTTGCTGAAAGCAGCCCATGAACTAAGCTGCAGCATAAACATGACCTTTCTCCTATTTGTTAACCTGTATATGCTCTAAAATCTCTTCTGACACTGGACAAAAATGTGGCATGAAATTTTCCTTTATTAAAAGTAGACCTGAGAACATCTGCAGTAGTTGTATATAAGTAAGACTGCAGCAGTAAATTGCCCTGCTGCAAATTGTGATTTTATTGTGAACCCTCCCTAGAAGCTGCTTTTCTCTGGAGCTCTAAGGGAGAAATCTCCAATTTTACATAAAAATAGGTTTCTAGCTGGAATCTAAAGAAACTTTTATACATAAAATGCTATACATGAGGTTGAAGATCAGAAATCAGGTAAAAAGAAACTCCTAATACCTTTTCTACGCTGTCAAGAGTCTAATAAAAATCTTATTATACAGTGGAAGTCATTGACCATAAATTTCAAACATTCTGGCTTAGCAGCACTGAAATTGCCTCTATTTTTAGCTCTTTGAGTACCTTCAAGTCTTTCTCCTACTATTTTATAGCAGTTCCAGGTGCTTAAAAAGGTTTTATAATCTTTAATCTGGCTTCCAAAATTTTGGGACAAAGAGTCAGCTGTCCAGATTTTGTAGAATATAGTGTGGAAGGAGGCCTCAGGGATCATTTTGTCCAACCTTTCTCAGCAAAAGCATGTTCTAGACAGTATGTCCCAGCACCCTCATTATTCTTAAGAGTCCAACACTGGGAAATCCATCACTTTCCTGGGGAAATTACTCCAATGACTGATTTGCCTCATTCTAAAAAATGGTTGTCTTGTATCTAATCAAAATCTCACCAGGATGAACTTGTATCCATTATCCTTTGTCTTTTCCATGTGACTCCTTGCAAGCAGAAAGTCTCCATCTTCTTTGTAGCCACTCACGTCTTGCAAAACATCAAGCACTTTTAAGAGAAAACACTTGAAAAACCCCTTACTTTACTGCGGAATATGGTGCTGTGTTTCAGCTGAAGCTTTTTTTGCAAAGCCTGAGACGGACTTCAGGTCATGTGACATTTGAGGGGACACAGTGCTGTCCTGCTGCAGCATCCCTCCAGGGCTTAGGCAACGAAGAGTGCTCTTTCTCTGGCTGTAGAGCAGCCTTACAGCTTAATTTACATGCTGGGCCATCTTCATAGATGGCAGTGAGAGGTTCAAAGTGGTTATTGATCTGTTCCCAGGTTTTGGAATAATAGAATAAGATAGGACTCGAAAAGCTGTGCTATAATTGTATACTTTGCAAAAAAGCCACTGCACTTAAGCAGAATAAGATGAAAGCCAATTTTATGTCCCACTCTTGTTGCATTGAGCATTAAGCAATCATGAGCATTGAGAGGTCATAAAGCTTACAGATTTGCCACATCTGTGACAGACTGGGAGTGTTTTTCCCGCTGATGAGAGCAGTTCAGGATACCTCTTGGGACCACAATCAGCCTTGGGCTCTACAAGGTTGATGGCAAAGAGCAACACCCACTTTAGAACTACTTCACTGAAAACGTTGATGAAAAAGCAGAGACACAGCCTAAGGAAGACTTTAAATTCTGCTGGAAGAAAAGGAGGAGGAACTCTAATTATGGTTTGTATTTTGGTTTGAAAGTGGTGGGGCTGAGTTTGGGAAAGATGCCATTCCTCTTCCCTGATGCTTCTGTAATGCCACTAGAGGGCCCCGAAGTCCACATTAAAAAATTGTCTTTGGCATTTTTGAAAAGACAACACAGCCGTGAACGTGTTTTCCAGAACTCTTGTGCTTTCTCATTTTGCTATTCTCAATGGAATGTGTAGGGTGAACACAATCACAAGAAAATATGGATTTGGGGAGGGGGATACCATGAAGGATAGCATCACCAGTGACTTCTATCCACTAAGGACTTGCATGGCTTTCTGCAGTTTGGTGGAAGGGGTATCTCCTCAGCAGGAGCTGGATTTCCCCTGTGTCTTTTCTATTTTATGAGACAGAGGTATATGTAGCAGGTTCTCTGAGAGAGCACAGGAGGCTTTTGATTTCATACCATCCCCTATGAGGATGTTTGCTGTTTGTTAAACCTCACCTTAAGCTTTTCTTCCACAGCTTGTCTTTTGGTTGTGGAGGACTGAAGTACCTGGGTTACACTTGCGGTTGAGTGTGAATTATAAACAGGATGAGTTATTTAATAAACAAGAAAATGTTCCTTTTGAACAATGTTTCTTTTTCCTTGTAGAGTTGCATGTGGAAGGCAGCAATGCTGTTCTGCTCTGCATTTGTGGATGTCTGGCCAAAGGACTTCCTGGCTTTTGGTCATCCTGAAGAAGAGCACTTCCTTGTGCTCTGTCTCCTTGCAGTCCAGAGTAATAACCAGATTTTTGAAGGTGTTCAGACACAAGAAAAGTTTAAAAATAAATCCAGAAATTTTTCCTTTTTTTTCCCTTTTCCCATTTACTGTCTCCCCTTCTCTTTAATTAAATAAGCCTGCCACCTCACGTGCCACGGTCTTGATCTGAGACATTTTGATAAAGACATGTAAAATGATATTAAATTTTTGGCAGCACTCTCAGGACTGAAACTGTGGTTGGATCACATGAAGAGAGAATATGTCATTGGGACCAACCATTCAATCACTTCTGTCCTGGGAGAGTTTGAAATGTTGGGCACTGAAATAAAAAAATGTCATCACAAATTTTATGACTTTTGCTGAAACACTTATGATTTGATGAATGACAGTAAGAGCAACTGACTCCACAATCCAGAGAGGATAAAATACTAAAATTGCCAGAAACCTCCCCAAAATACCATGCCTGTGACATATAAGGAAGCATAGTGCAGTGTGGGCTGGCCCTACTGGTATTTGCTTTAAACGACCTGCATCATATCAGTGGCCCTGCCATCCCAGACTAATGAGTAGCTGTTCAGAGTGACCTCTGTTATCCATTTAATGCACTGTGCCTACGCTGCCTTGCTTTTTTGAGGGCTGCCAGTGGATACAAATGAGGCATAAACTGTGTGTTTTCCTTTAGAGATAATTTTGCCTTTCCAGAAACGAATTAGACTTTGCATAAGAAGTAGCACTTGAGACAAATTATGTCTGCTGGACTAGTGAATTCCAGAAAAATGGTTCACTAAATCTAAAGGTAGATGACTAAAATATATTATACATGTCAAGTCTGAGAAATATTCATTTATCTCTCTTAATTACAAAAGAAGTCTAGATGACTTCATGGGTTGTATATTATATATATCTACTTTTTGGCAATATGAATCCTACCTGTACTGTCAGTGTCATCATGTGAATCTTGAATTTGTTTGTGCCAAATTACCAAGTACAGTGTCTGTGGCACTTGGGGAGAGAAAAGCTTACCCTGGAGGCAGACTCCAATGCATATAGGGTCTTGAGAGACACTGCAACTCCCAGGTAGAGTTCAGCTACTCCAAAGGTGGTCCCTTTCCCAGCCTGGGACTCTGGAGGCTCTGGTAAATAATTTAAAATACACATCATTCTTCAGGCTGTAGATTAACACACTCTCTGCTTTCTTTTTTGGTATCCTACTGCAGATGTTTCACTTGTGTTATGAGTGAATGTTCTATTCTTAACATAATAAAGCTCTCTATTAAGGAGTGGTTTGAATTTTCATTAATTTTCTCTGGTTTCTTTTTTGGTATCCTACTGCAGATGTTTCACTTGTGTTATGAGTGAATGTTCTATTCTTAACATAATAAAGCTCTCTATTAAGGAGTGGTTTGAATTTTCATTAATTCAAATGTTATTTTTTAATTTTATTGAAGAGGGCATAAATTGAATGACAGAATTCTTTATAGTATTTTAATTCCTTTCATAAGCATATTTTGGGTCTTGAGGGATGTTCATAACAAACATGTGTTAGTTCCAAGTACCTTTCTTAAAACCCTTTGTGTTTTGGGACACAGCCAGATAGGATGACAGAATATATATTATTTTTATAGCTCATATGTTGGGTCGACAGAATTAAGCATGTTTTATCCTTGCAAGAAAATTAAACATTCCTGTCTAATTTAAAAAAGGGATTGTCTAAAGGACTTGCTTTATATGCTTTCAGGATACTCTTCTTGTTCATTAGGAACTGTTCTGTATTCTTTTGCAATCAGCTCTCATCTTTTATTGTGTCATTTCAATTGCAAGTGGTTTAAAAACACTGTAAAAAGCTCTGTGGACATCTAGTGTGTTAATTGGATGAGGAAGAGGAAGGTGTTCTTGTAGTGTGGTATTATATGCAGTATAAAATATCTCTGGGCAAGATACTGCAGTTTAGTGGCTGATTGTACGGCTCATTCAATACTGAATGAGGAGCAAGAATTCCTTTCAAACAATGGTTGTCTTTTGTGTTGTGTTTGTTTTTAATAACGCTGCTGAGAAGTTTAGGAAAAAATAAAAAGTTCATTTAATTAAAAAAAAAAAGAGAAGACTAGCATCCTCAGAAAAAAGAAAATTTTCTGAAATGGAATTTATCTCACCCTCCTTCAGACTAATGAATAATAACATATTCTGCTGACAAAAGGCAACTTTAGAAATATGATATCATCACAGCTACATCTTATTGATTGATCCCATGCAGTTAGCAGGACAGTTGTGATAGCCTCATAACAACTACTCTCTCCTTGAATTTCAGATCCACTTTATGTTTCTTTTTATTATTTCTCTCATTGTCACTATCTCCAGCACTGGTGAGAAATACCTGGAGTACTGGGTCCAGGCCTGGGTTCTCAAGTAAAAGAGAAACAGGGATGTAGAGAAATCAAGTCAAGCAAAGGACCATAAGGAATGGGAGCCTCCCACAGAGGAGCATCCAAGAGAGCTGAGATCATTAAGCCTAAAGATAAGATGGCTCCAGACAAATTTCATCAACAAGTACAAATATCTGACGAACAAGAGTAAAGAAGAGGGATGCTGGCTAATCTCAGAGGTCTGACAGGACCAGAGGCAGTGGACACAAACTGAAATGCAGGAGACTCCCTCAGAATACAGAAAAACACCTTTCTACAGGGAGGGTGATTAAACCTTGCACAGGCTGTGCAGAGAGGTTGTGGAGCATCCGTTCTTTATTAGCCTGAAGAAAAGGAGGCTCAGGGGTGACCTTATCACTCTCTACGACTCCCTGACAGGAGGGTGTAGCCAGATGGAAGTTGTCCTCCAGTGGTCTCCCAGATCTCACTCTCTTCCAGCCTAATTGATTCTGTGATTCTGTGATATTCCAAATCACTCTGAGCATGATCCTGGACAGCCTTCTCAGGATGACCCTCCTTGAGCAGGGGGGTTGCACTAGACCATCTCAAGCCTCAGGTCTTCTGTGTTTCTGCAGTTTGACAAGAGCCAGGACAGGCTGTGGCTGAGCAGCCTTAGTGCTACTTAGTTTATATGCAGGCATGAGCTTCTGAAAAAGGCTTTATGATTTTCAGACTGAGAAATAAATTTCTTCATTTCCACAGTGAAATAGAGCCAAAGACCAGTATGGACAAAGCATACATCCAGATTGAAAGGCTGCACATTAAAAGCCATAATGCCTAGTCTAAATGAATTAATAGTAAAATAGGATCTTCAGAGGCTATGTAATCTCTCTTTGTCCCTAGGCAGAGTTAAATGTGCCTAAATCATTACTGGCAATGTTTCCAGTCATTAGTGATCCTTACTATTAGAAAAAGTTCCTTGACAACTAAGTGAAACTTTAGCAACTAATGGCCCCAGATTCCCATTAATGTCTTTTTGCTACACTGATCATTGGGCAAACTTTTCAAGACTGCTGTCATTCCCTCCTCAGCCTTTTCTTCTTCAGGCTGACAAACACTTCAATTCTGTCCACCTTTTCTCACTAAAGACACAAGAAAAAGTCAATGGGCACTTTGAATCCAAGGAGTGGCACGTGCCTGCAGGTTGTCTGCCTAGCCTAGGCTAAGTGCTACCAAAAAAATTGCTGGGATCTCTCAGGCTGACCCTTGAAAACAGCCCCTGATGAGATGTGTGGCATGTATTGAAAAAAAAAACAAAAAAAACCAAAAAACTTGCAAGTGCTCTTAGAGGCTTTTGGAGCATGTTATCAAGACTATCAAGCAGTGTTTAGGTCAATCCATATGTACCTAAATGAAAGCAGTGTTCCCCATGAGGGAAGATGGACACATGGTGTCTAGTGCCTGGTGTCACTGGGCTTCCTGCCTTGTCAGGCAGTGCCTGAGCTTTGGGACAGCAGTTCACTGCAGCTTTACAACTGAGATTCTTTGACAACTTCCTGTGTGGAGGAGCTTGCCTTCCTCCCTTAGTTAAACTGGGAGCACTGGGAGAGCTGCCTCCTGCTCCAGGCACTCAGCTGCTTTCCCAGGGCTCAGGAGAGCTCTGGTCCCTGGGGGCATCACCAGCACCTGCAGCACTGCTGAAATGCACTCACCCACAGGATGCACTGAGGTTAACCAAGTTCACAGAGCACTGGAATGTCCCCAAACTCCCCTGGTGGGAGTAGAAACTTCACTAGCAAGCACTTGAGGCATTTTCTTTGCTACCCTCAGAGCATCAGGTAACCCTTTGCCTTCAACCACCACAATTTGCCTGAAGAAAGTAGTAAAACAAATGGATAAATACAAGTTAAAATAGGAAAGAGAGTAGGGAGAAAATTACTCCACATTATGCCCCCTCGTCCTAGCCTGGTGAGGCAGTAAAAGCAGCCTTGAAAGAAGGATTTTTCTTCTGTATTTCTTACAGTACAAAGCTGAAGGAATTACAGATTCAACACAAACAATTCAACTTCCCCCAGGAACAGCACTATTTGCCCAGAGACAATTTAAAAAATAAGAAGAGTATATCTTGTATGCTGAGTTAATGAAATCCATGGCTTCTATAAACATAATAGGGCTACAAACAATAAACCAAGAAAACTGGTGAGATTTTACAATCGCAAAAAGGATGCTGCTATGGGGAATAACAAGGAACAAGAGTCTGCTCTTATGAAAGTCTCTGAAAATTTTTTTTTCTCACTCATTTCACTTTGAAAATACCTTGAGAAATATGAGGTATATTCTGATGTCAAAATTCTGAAAAATGAATAGAAATTCACAATACTTTTCAGTGCCACCTAATCTGTATTTTTATTCAAGTGAAGTCACTGAATAAAAACAGATAAAAGAGGAATCAGACCCAAAGTACTGAAGTAGATAAAATAATTTAAATGCAAAGTGTAGTCTGCTAAAAGTAGAGTGCACATTTATATGTTCAGAAAGATACTGATGCTTTCAATCTCTCCCACACATTACTGAAGTATAAACTATTTTAGTTAAAATGTTTTATTCTAATTCTTTTGTCAAACTCCATTGATTTTAATAAGATATCATTGTTGTATCAATGTGTAGAACTAGAAAACAAAACATTCTAATGCAGGCATTTGCTTTTACAGATCTGTTTCATATGTCCTTGATTATGCTTTGCTGTGGTCTTTGAAATCACCTTCCAAGTCCTTTCTGTGGAGGCCACAGGGTTATTCCCAACCTCTGAGCAATGCTTTTTCTAGGAATTGGCAAGGCCCCTAAGGCAGTTTGCAAAGTTTACATTTCTCATGGTACCGAGCACATGGGCTGCCCCTGAGGGTGTTTGTGGCTATGACAGCAGTCCCAGCTTCTGGCAGAAAGACTCAGTTTTAAGTAGAACTTTTTATTGTCTGCTTTGACACATTGTTATGAGCCCAACAACATAGGAGCAAGATCACCTACAAATGCAAAAGACAAATAGACTTGATAGCTCAACAGAGTGGAAATTATTTGAGAAAGCTTGGGGGTTTGAGCTATATTGAAGATGTATGGGTTTAAAGTTCTCTCTGGCAGAATGTCAATTGTAATACATTTATAACTTGAGAAAAAGAGCATAATATCATTTTTCAGCAGTTTGATAAATGAGACATTGGGGAAAAATGTTTATCCTAGAACAGAAAATGCCCAGAAATCTTCTGTCACAGACCATGGACTTTTCAAACCTCTCTTGCAGTAGTTGATTAAGCCATATTTGGGACTATCATCAGCTTACCTTTGATTTCCTTTACCATTGTTTTACAAAAAACAGAGCTGGGTTAGAAAGGTTAGAAAACAGATTTAATTAGTTTTCTTGATAACGTTATTAAGCTCATGCTTTTTTATTAGGCATTCATATCTACTCTCTGTTTCCCTCAATACCCAGAGGGTAAAAGAGATCAGCAATGAGTAGGTCTGAAAGAATAAGGACTAGTATGAATAAGAATAAGAATATAGGAACAGAATTACAGGGAATGTTTTGAGGGAAAAATGTAGAAAAATGGCTTGGGGAAAAAAGTGAAAGTAAAAAGATACTGAGACATTCTGTGAGGTTTTTTTATTTATTTTGCAGATTGGAAACAATAATCAAAACCATTTCCCACAATGGTTAATTTCAACATTTTTCAAATTAAAACACTTCACTTTCCAAACTGAAACTATTTGCTCTCCTT